TTCTAATGGTATATTGCAGCACCGTATTGCTGGACGATTAGATGCATGAAGATGCATAAAGGAAACAGAAGTGACTGTTTCAGTAGAAGTGTGCTGGTACCAGTACAGTAATCTAGAAAGTGTTATTAGCAAAGCATAACCATATGAAGTTGAGTATATATTACTCAACTGAGTATTTTAAAAGCTACTTAACATAGTTGCATGGAACCACTTGACATAGCGAGTAAATCCAAAATGTCATTTTTGGGTAATACATAATCACTCCAGTTAATTAATTCCATCTTAGAAGCTACATTTTTAAGTGCAAAATTTCATTTTCATCTGTCTATCTATCCATCTATCCATCTATCTAACACTGTTGTCGGAACAAAACCTTGTATCTCCAAAATGATAACTTTACATGACAAGGAAAAAAAACTACTTTAATTTAATGTAAGTCAATGGAACCAGACTTTTTTCCAAGGTTTTTGGTGTCATTTCTTTTGGTCCATTCATCATAAAATTTACATACAATGTAAAGGGTAACAGGTATTCTCAGATTATGTCAAAAACTGAAAAATGTTAAAAATGGAGATAAGAGGTTTTCTTCCGACAACAGTGATACATATATAGTTTGGCTTCCAGTTCTTGCACTGAATAGTAGTGTCTGCTAACTAGATGATGATCATTGCACATTTTCCCTGAACTGGCATTAATGACCTTCAAGCTAATCACTGCACTTTTCCTGCTGTGATAAAACAGCCCACGACTCTCAAATCTGCGCTCAGCCTGCTTTGCATATTCCCTTTCCATGGCAGCAGCCCTGTGGATCAGGCTGATCGGATCTTTCCTGTTCCGCACAGATAGAGCCGCAGACGGGGAGTTTCCCTGCCCATGCAATACCTGTATCTGTATGTTTTAGCGCAGCTGAGGACACATCTCTCCGGCAGGGCTGTATGGGCCTCCAACAATAGCTGCATTGTGCCGCGCTGTCTGCAGGAACACATGGGCCACAGAGAGATGCCATTGTTTTATCAAGTAACGTTACCTGTGATTCGATAAACGATAGCGCGCCGTGTTTTGGTGAAAGGAATCCACAAATATATCAGCGCCTCTTCTTAGGTCACCTCGGCTTCCCCAGGCCTGGCAGCGTACCCACCCGCGCTGGTCCTAAAGAGAAGGGGGGGAAAGCAGAGACCCCTTTCATTTAGGAGTAGCATTCCTGGGAACTACAGAGAGAGAGAAGAGATTGAGAGAAAGAAGGAGTGAGAGGAGATGAAGTTTTTTTGCACAGTGTTAAAGTGATACATGGCCTCCTAGAGAAAAGGCACTGATGCCATGCCAAGCCGTGTCATTTAAGGTGTCCCATACACAGAAGCACGTATGACGCCATTGAGATCAGAGTGGCATGGGCTGGGGGGGGCTTTCTAAAGCTGTGCCAGGACTTTGGGGGACTACCTGTGAAAGAGAGGACAGTAAAGCAGTGTTCATGTATGAAACTCGAGAGCCCTGGCCAGTAAAGGGTCATAAAATATGCCATCACCACTATGTGCGGACCTTAGAGCTGTCATTGTGAATTATATTAGCAATTGAGCACTCTACCGATTATTTTTACAATTAATTTGACAATTAATCAAGTAATCCAAGGCAAAACAACATAAAAAAATGGACTAAACATTAACAAACCATGCACAGATTTTCAAAGATTAAGCCAGGAAGCCTTTAAAAACACTAACCTAGGCAAACTACATGTTGTGTTAATGAAATAAGTGAACACATCCTCTACTAACTTAAATATGGCATTATTCATGCAAATTTAGTGCACAGTTATGCTGAATTTAACATATTGAAACTAAAAAAATACAATAGAAAGTGTGCCATAACTTTTGCACAGGCCACATTTTATGTTTTATTCTTTTATGTGTTAAATTCAGCAAATACAGTAACAGTACATTAAAATTCTAAATGGTAAGTTCAATTATGACTCTCTTAATAAAACCAGGTATTTCCAGCTACAATGTACATCAAGTCTGAAGTGTCATTTACAAGCAAAACACATTCTAAAGGCCACCGCACACCGGATACACTGCACAGCATCATTCAGCAGATAAAGTACAAAGCGCTGCTATTTTTTGTCGGTTCCCTTTTCTGATTTTTTCAGATCTGAAGCAAAAGTGGAGCTTGATTTTCTCCTCTCTCTCAAAGATGAAAGATTTCAGTGCTGTTTATCTGATGGGGGCAGTTTTGGTGGTCTATGAGGTCTTGTCTCATTTTCATGTCAGTCGCTGTGTTTCCAGTGATTTTCTGTGCAAATGGAAAATGATAAAATCTGACTTTTTTGTAATGATTCCATTTCCGCAAAAATACCGTTGCCTGTTCTGGTTTATCAATTAAAGAAAAAAAAAAATGTTGACATTTCCATCACTAATGTCATGTATACTGTCATGTATGTCACAACTTGTGTACCTTTGGCTTCCCTGACTTCCCCATAACCTGAAATATGCCACAACACTAAATTTATGCATAAATGTGTTTTTTTGTTTAAAAAGAAAAAAAAAAGGTTTCCAATGTAGTTTTTTACAACTCAGGTGCCAACAAAAAACATTCTGCTGACACTACTGAAAAAAAAATATTACTGACAATATCTGTTTCCGTAGCCTACATCGACAAACACTTTGAAGCATTCAAACATTTTTTTATGGAAACGTATCTAGTGACTCCTTTGGGAATTCAGCTTCTGATGGGAGGACGCAGCTGTAACTGGTTTAAAGGTTGGAAAATGGAAGGGTTAATATGAGTGTAAAAAGACTACAAAAGTAAAGAGTGGATAAATTAAATATGGGAAGACATAATTTATGCTGTAGGCTTTTGTGTAACGTCCTGTGAAATATTTGTGTCCTGCTGTTCTTTCTTGCCATTAAAAATTATCTGTTAATATCTAATATTTAATATTTAATATAAAACATCCCCTTGGAGTTATAAGGTTCCATGTGCGTTCGAAACAGTTCTGAGATATTGAGCTTCAAAGATTTTGAATTCCAAATAGCAAAACTGATATGTGGAATACGTCTCTTTCATACATGACGATAACAGACACCCTAAATGTATTAAAATGTACAGAATCAAAATGCTATTAAATTTGTAAATGAGTTTTTTTTGGAACAGCTCAAATGCAGATCCTAAGACTCACTTTCTGTTTGGAATTATAAGGTTCTGTCTGGCAAAACATGAAAAGAAGCAAAGATTTTAAAGGGACACAAACAGTTTATACTTGTAATTTGTTTTAAAACATAAAAACAGTGCTGTAACAGTGACTATATTTATCAAGTCAAATTTAATGCTTTCTATGACATTGACATTTACTTGTATTATTATTTTTTTATGACGTTTATTTCATGTTTTAGTACAAATCATCTTTTTCTCATTAAAAAAAAAAAAAGAGTGCTGCAGATCAAGTATAAAGATCAGTGCTAAATATTTTGTCCAGTGCAGAGGTCATTGTTAGGTAGGAACCATTAGTTTAAGGTTCCTTTAGGTCAGACAGTGACCAACTACTGTAATAAACTGCCCCAGCAGGTCAGTGTAGCAGGTCAGTCTACAGGCCGTGTGAGGTTTTGTTTAAATCTCTAATTCTATTCTAGGAGAAAGAAGAAAAAGAAAAGATGGAGGAATGAATGAAATTAATGTTTATGTTGTAATTAAGATCCCATCTTAGATCCCTTAATGTTTATTAAATGTATAATAATAAGCCTTTTTAACAAACTACAAGAGGACAAGCAGAGTTTCAGCATCATATTTTCATGTTTCATAAAGTTTTAGAAACTTGCCCACAGTCACTGAGCAGAGCGGCAACATGACAAAGAAACAGAACCTGATTAGTTCTGGTGTGTATTTGAAGTGCTGAGCGGCTCGCAGCGCCTTATAGAACTAAGTAAGAGTTTGATTTTGGAGATAGGAGATAGAACCAGAAACCACGGATTTCCCAGCTTCAGCTTACTGAGCAGATTTTATTAGAAAGTCTTCAAACTCTAGAAAACGGGACGCAAACGCACGAACAGAACACAGTCACTAACGCTCGGAAAAACAATAAACAAGGACATTATGATATTCATTTATTCACACGTATACATTTTCGAACTAGGCAAACAGCAGTTTATGTACATTCAGTAGTTGTGGCGAATGGTGCGGAAGACTTGAGATTACTTAAGAGAGGATCTGAAGCTGAATCCAGCTTAAGCGCTTTCTGGAAAAGAAAAAAGAAAAAACACACACAAGCTCTCTGGAGCTCAGAAATAAAATACATTTTGGTAAAAAGCATTCACATGTACTTCCAGACACTCTCACAAACGCACTGTAAACATAAACGCAGACAAAATGCTGTAGAATTCAAAAAGAACCCAAACTCGCTGTTAAAAAAAACCTGAATGCACGCGTCAATACACGATTCCATATAGAGATTCTTCAGACTGTTTTCCTGCTGTACTGAATCACTACTGCTTCAGCGACAGCAGTGGCAGTGAAAGGCAGCTAGTGTTATTTCAAACTGGTGGGCAAAACCGAGCGAACGCAATGCTCAACATTCAACAAAATAAGTGGTCGTTAATATTACAAGGCTGAAAATCAACCCGGTCGCGCACTCGTGCACACTCATCCGTCCATCCTTCACCCACGTGAGGAAAAAAAGGCAAAATTCTGTTTTTAAAACACAGTTAAAGACGAAAAGCTACAGAACATTAGCTCGATAAGATTATTGTGGCGCCGAGAAAACTAAAGCTAGCCAACTTGAATTATAATTTAAAAAGAAGTGACACAAACAAAAACAAAAAATGTGCACCTTTTTGAGCAGTTACTAAACCCTTCCACCCATGTGAAGGCACAACTTAATGCTGTGGGCCTTAAGCAGTAAGTGTTCACGTTCTGCACTCCAAAAGCTAAATCTAAGGGGGAAATGGTCACTGGTCACTATCTGCTGATTCCATTTGTAGATTCTTCACCCTGGCTCCAACCAGATATTTAAAAGAAGCAACAAGACCATTCGACAAAATCCTAAACACTTTGATACAAGAGTTCATAGCTTAAATAATTCTAGAAAAATATTTGCTGTACATATGACACAATTATATACATAGTGTAGTCCTTGTTGGTTTATGTATGTTTATACATGCTTACTTATGAAGAAAAATCAAAAAGGTGAGGACTTGAAAAAGGGACTTCTCCTGGCAAACCCTTCGCAAACACTAGCACCACTCACTACTCGCCATACAGATCTGGAAAAGCAAAACATGGCAAATTATGAGAACTCTTGATTTAACAGCAAAATGCAATGAGATTTATGGAAAAAAATATACAGTAGAGTGCAAACGTCAGCAAAGACAAGTGTTTAAAACTATATATCTGGGCAGTAAGTGTGTTTCTGCCTATAAAAGCCTTGTTTAGGATTAACAGAATGAGCCAGGAACCAGAAGGCTGTGGGTTCAAATCCCAGCACTGACTGGCTATTCCTGGTTATGGCCTTGGACAAGGCACTTAAACTGCCCTCCCCCCACTGCCCCAGGCCCCAGACGGGACATAGTTACATGCCAAAATGATAAACTTCCCTTGTAGGACCCAAAAAGCATAGCATTAACATTTATTAACATTAAATTACAATGTCAGTGGTGATTTACCATTAAGTCTTATTAGTCTCAGATTAAGCCAAGTGTGGGTCCAGGAAACTGGCCCAATATAACATTAGAAAATACACAAATAAACATAAATAGAATAAAACGTAAGATTGTTTTGTTTTTAAAAAGTTATTTTTGCTGCTGATTTAACATAATGAAGGATTGAATAGATAAACTAGATATCTGAACTGTAAATACTGGACTTCCTCAAGAAGATCTTTGGGATAAAACATATAAAATCAATGTACTGTTTATAAACAATTTATTTGTATTGATTCTAATGTTAGTTTTTTTTTAAACAAATAAATGCTTACTGCCCAGATAAAACACTTTCCATCTATTTTCTAAGACATTTAAACAGTACTGTATATATTCAGGCTGTCAAAATGTTACTAATTTGTATTAGTTCTGCTTAAACTTGGTATCACTTAAACTGCTGCTGAGCGCTCTTCCAAAATACTATTAAATGATCAACAACAATAAATCAATGCCTCACTGCTCGTTTTCTTGGGGAAAATGTCCACTACTTAACGCAACTATTGTCTCATGGTGTTTACAACCTTCTGAACCTCAACTGCAGAGACAGAAAAAAAAGATCTCAATCTTTCCTTTTATAAAAGAGAAACAACCAGTCACCAGTTTTTAATAATGGAACACTTCAAAAGGATCGGAAAAGCACAATTAATCCAAATGAAAGATTTCAGCAATTTTTCTTTTTTTTTTACCTTTCGAAGATCAATAATTAAGAGGTCAATATCCATAACAAGGACTTGAATTAATGAACAACCTCCAATTCTCCCAAAGTCAAAAGCAATTATTATTTATAGAAATACATGCCTACATGGTTGTATAAAACAATCTGCAGCCAGAGTTTGAGAACAGAAAGGAGAACGAGAGTTTGCATAGTCTTTTCTAGAGAAAAACAGTTCCTGCGCTTCTGCCCAGAGGTTTTAAGGCCTCTGTCAGACATTGTCAAACTTGTGTTTTAAGTAGTCCTTCATGACTCTGGCAATCGGCAGATCCTCCAGAAACTTTAAGCTTTGAAGTCCTATGCACTGACGAATCTTTATCCGGCACAAATCCTGCAAAGTCCTGGGTTGCCCTGAAAAACAAAAGAAAAGATTTAGCAAAGTGAACTACTACTTACAGTGAAACCAATTCAAACCATTTCTATTTTAAGTAATCCTTTTGCAATCATTACCCACCACTAAAGTTATTAAATACATATGGTACATGCTTCATATGGTACACACAGTTCTTTTAAATTGGCTTAATCAGAGAGGTGCTAAGTGGTTAAAAGTGAAGCTCGCTGTTTTGTACAAAAATGTGTGTGAACACTATCCATCTCCTTCTGAGGAAGAAGAAAAAAAAATCAAAAAGGGAAGATACTTTAGATGCCTGTTTCTCACACGCAACGCTTCAAGGCTCTAAAGCCACAATCTTTGTTCCCTCATGTAAAATTCTTACCCAAATATTTTGGACAATTATTCTGCAATCATTAGTCACATTTCAATAAAATGTATATCTATTTCTACATCTATATTGAACCTATCTAAAAAGGATTCTATTTCGCACCAAAAAGGTTCTTCTACTGTTACAAGCTTGTTCAATATAGAAATCATATACAGCACATTCTCCATGAATCTGAAGAGCCCTTTCATGATGCAAAGAACCTTTTAAATTATACAAAGGGTTCCTTGATTGTTCATGGCTCTCTATACAGACCTATTTTCTTTACTAAAGAACCCTTGAAGAACCATCATTTTTAAGTGTATACATGGACCATTAAAACTGCAGTTATATGGTAAAAAACTATATAAAAACAAAAACAGTATTCGGATCCCAGAAATTTACAAGGTCTTTTGTTGGTTTAACTGAACTGCTTGTGTCCTTTTTTACTGTATGACTTGTATATCATCTTGTTTGCATGTCTGGTGTTGTGATTTTGTTCTTTAGCGCTTTGTGTATTATCAGTGCATGTTACAAAATATGTACTACTACTACTGCTACTACTATTTTTATTATTATCAGATATGTATATGAAATCGGATACGGGCACAAGCCCACAATTCCCATACTACTCCCTAAAAGAAAGTACAAAAATATATGAATGGATGTGAACACTACTCATCCTCTCTTAGGCAAAAAAAAAGCACAAGGGAAGACACTTGAGATGTCAAGGTGAAAAGATGCCTCTTTAGCCTCGGGTTCGTGCCCAAAAAGCTTCAAGACTCCAAGGCCACTGGCTTTGTGCCCTCCTTTATCTGCCGTCTTAAAGATGTTAAGGAAGTTGGAAACGAGTTCCAGGAATCCGCTGAGCGCAGTTTATCAGTTCTAATGGCCGAGCTCGTCCTGCCCCCGCACAATGTGGCACAGGCACAAACGAAGCCAGCTGGGAAAACCACTACAAAGGCCTGGCTGGGGCCATCTGCAGACCCTGTCTACTGTCACCCCCTGTGCCTTATAAAGGAGGGGAAAAATAAACCCAAAAATCCAGTGTGTCAGTCATGATCTTTGAGACTTTACACGGCTTGGAGATGTTTAAGCGCTGAAATGCTTTTTATAATCGATAACTGGACTGAAATGTGATCGTGCTGATGCTTTGGGTTGAATGGGGGAAACAGACTCTATAGACAGGCTGCTTTGATATGGTGATATCAAAGTTGAACTGGAGCGCAGGAATGTGGCCATTGTTGTCTACTAGATCATTAGTGCTTCAGGTAACACGGCTCGCTTTTCTCAGACGCTGGATTGTTCGCGGAGGGAAAGAAGCTGATTATAGCTGTGCGCTCGGGAGGTGACGGCGCAGGCTAAGACTGCTGTGCCTCTGCTCAACTTACACAGCCATACAACTGCTACTGCACAGGTGCGTTCACTCGCAAGCTCTTTTTTGTCAGGAGAGTGAAATACATTTCCATAGCAGGGATCAGCTTGTTTGCAATGGTCAAAGGTATCTGTTTAGAGATGTTTAAAGGGCCCATATCATGAAAACACAAATTGTTCTCACTTTTTTTTTTTTTGAGTTTGAAGTTTCACAACATGCGCAAAAAAAATAAATAAATACACAAGAAAAATGTAGGATATAAGCCCTTTAAATATTAGACGGTAAAGCAAGAAATTCACTGTACCAAAATGAAGCGTTGTAAGGAATAATGATTTCCATGTTTGTTGTGGAAACTAGTTAACTAGTTATAGTGGATTATGGTATAGCAGATTGTACAAGTATGTGAACAAGTAATAACACCACACCTGTGCAAAAAGGCCACACACTATCCTTACCTTCATAATGACATTAGCGCTGCAGAGAATGATAATTTCTATTAATTAGGCATATGGGAATTTTGATGCCAATATTTTCCTATCTATACATTTGCCAATGCTGATACATAAACTATTATGAAATGTAGAAATTGGAGCTACCTAGATTAGCACTACAGATAAATATAAGTTCTGGAGTACAATTAATACATCATCAAATATCAGTCAAATCTGCTGTTTCCTCTCACAGCTTTCAATCCAATCTGTGTAGCACAGATTCCTCTTATGGTTCAACAAAGCAACAAATGCCATATCGCCCCCTATACTTTCTGTAGAGAACTGCAAGCTATGAGAACAGCTGACATGAACATTATAGAGCGGAACAGTACGGAGGTAACAGTATAACATACAGCACTGTTTTGAATTGTATCACAGTGAATTATATCCCATCAGGACTAGCTTGTGGCTAGTGTGTTAGCTTGTGGTTAACATATTAGCTTGTGGCAAGAGCATTAGACTGGGACAGAAAGCACAATTATTGTTATGTACTTCTATAATGTTTTAAAATGTTTAAGCCTCTAATTAACTAAAAATGTAAACACTGACATATTAAAGGGCACATATTCTACATTTTTGCTGTATCTTAATTTTTCAGCTGTTTGGACTGCTGTTCTGAGTCCAAACAGGAGTAAAATACAATGTTACAGAGCATTAGACTGGTTTTGTTTGTAGATAAACAACATGTTAAGCTTTTTTCTAATGATCAGTGCAGCTCACTGCAGCCCTAAAGAGCAAAAAAGCAAAAAGAGCCAACAAAGTGAACCTACGTGTGACCTCCTGCAGGAAGTCCAAACAGGGCCGGCTGATACCGGACATGCTGACGGAGACGGCCACAGGTGTCTGGCCCTCATAGTTGCGCGTGTTGGTGTCGGCGCCATATGTGTAGAGCATCTGAGCGCACAGCACATCGTCCCGGAGAGCCGAGAGGTGCAGCGGCGTCTGACCATCCTCCAGCCGGCCCAGGTTGGTGTCGGCACCTCGCTGCAGGAACATGCGACAGTATGAGTGGTTGCCCTTGATGACGGCGTAGCGCAGCAGGAAGCCGTTCTGGATGTCGATGTTGGCGTTGTGGTCCAGCAGGATGCGCACGCAGCTAGAGCGCTCGCGGATGATGGCCAGCTGCAGTGGCGTTGTGCCCTTATCGCTCAGTGGGTCCACCTCGGCCTTGAACTCCAGGAGCAGGCGCACAAATGAGTCACGGCCGTAGTGAGCTGCTACATGCAGCGGCGTCCAGCCATCGTTGCTCTTGGCGTTGATGATGTCACCACGGTGCTCAGACTCCAGCATGAGGCGTGCGATGCGGGCGCGGCCGTGCATGGCGGCATAGTGCAGGGCCGTGAAACCGCCAATGAAATCCTTCACCGTGGGGTCGGCTGCGTTACACACAGTCAAACAAACAAACACACAAAGTTATTATTGAGGTCAAGATGGAAACACAAACTTCAGCCCAACTTTTTGGTGGGCTGCCATGTCAACCTGTAGATACGTATTTTAACTGTATCTCTGAGTTGTTAGAAATGCAGCGTTCAACATTAGCAATTACTTGATTGCCCAGACCAAGTAAAAAAAAAGCTGGTGCCTTTTGACCCATCCACACTGGAGATTTTTTATACAGTTCGTCAAAACTGCTGTTTATAGAAAGCAGTTTTAGTGTTGTAAAAAACGTATTATCATCTCGTGTTAAGCGATATAGGCTGCTCACTTATCAGAAGCAGTGGACAAGTGTACACAATGAAATCAATACTTCTAATTAACAGTACAGAAGACAGAAGTCTCTCAAATAGTAGTAAAAATGTCTACACTATACTTTTGGAAACATTAAGATGACTTGTGAAGATGACTTTTTTTTGCACCAACTTCTATTTTATGACTAAATTAGTAGTTCCAAAGACATGTATGTATGTGTGCTTATTTATACTTAAATGTTTTTTAAAACCTAATATTTTCAGAAGGAAGAGCAATTGGGCAATTTGGGGAAAAGGTCTGGCATACACCAAAAACCCTTACGTATTTAGAGTGGGAAAGATGGGATGACCTTTAATCAATGCACATTGTCCTGTCATTGTGGGCAGTAAGCAAATTCTTACTCAAGTGGCTCATCAAATACAGTTGTACGGCTGTATGGAAAAAAGGCTGCATGTTGTTTCACGTCTGTGTAACCTAGTAACCTAGTTTCATAGTGCCATCTAGCTTCTTACAGGAATTCCTGCACCATTACTTAAGACAGTACACCGTGATTCTGATTTATGCTGAAAGAACAGTAACAGCCTTGATAACTAAGGCATACAGCTAAAGGAACGGTCAGCTGGTTAATGTCGTGTTCAAAAAATACAAGCACAATCATACTGTAAAGGACTTTTGAGAGTTATTTTGATAGCGTTCACTCCAGAGGCCAGTTTTTCAAAAAACCAAAGCAATGTATCGACATGTATCAGACACACAGCCTTGGATAAGTTTGTGTAATTCATTTCTGAGTACACACAAAAATGCAGGTTCATGCTAAAAAAAATACATATATTTTAACTAATTTAGCTGTAAAATTAGCCAATTAGATTAGCTGACAGGTTTATATGGTGGCATAACTGTTAAAAGTACGTCCGCAAACTACATTTAATTGAGTAAGTTCACAAAAAAGGCATTAAGCACAGCATAAAGAAAACCAAACCAACTGCAAAATGACACCAGAGGAGATGCAGCAAGCCACAAAATGTTTCGTCCGTAGCATTATTCTCCTTCTTCCATTACTTGTGGGTTATCCGTGAAATAGGACTGAGCCACCAAAGTAATTATAAGTGAGCACTTGCTCCGACATGCCTTTTTTTTGAAATGCTGCTTATCTTTTGAAGTACTCTCAGTCTGCAGGTCCATTTGCAAGCTGTGTTTCATTTTTGTGGCTCTGATTTGTTTCCATGCCTCATTTTGTGCTCGTGGTTTCCCTGTGTGATTTGCATTCTCTCACATCTCCTTTTGTGCTCTGCGATTTGCTTGCATGATTTGATTTGTCTAACAGCACTTATGAGTCACATATGAGGGCATTTCCGCGGTCTTAGTTTCTGTTCATTATCAATACTGCATACCACCATACCACACTGTTCTGACATAAACGCACTGCTTAGGGTGAATGAAAGCACAGGACAGTCATTCAGCACCATGCAAATGTGGTCACAGGAACAGAACTCAACTGGTCGTCATCTGTTACTGAGCATTTTCAATCAAAGCTTGTTTATTTTTGAACAAAAATCCAAGCGACCAACTGTCAGTCTTTCATCAGTAAGAGTTACTCTTTCTGCTGAAGCCACTTGCAGAGATGCTGCTGATCCTGTTTAAATACAGAAACTCATTTATGCTGTCACATACTTTTCAAACGTTTGTTTTCTGGCAACAGTTTATTTCCTTCTTCTACACTTAAAAAGATGGTTCTTCAAGGGTTCTTTAGTAAAGAAAGTGGTTCTATATAGAATCACAAACACTCAAAGAACCCTTTGCATGATAAAGGGGCTTCTCTACATTATGAAAGGGTTATTCAGATTAAAGGAGAATGTGCTGTAGATGCTAAATGAACCTGTGGCATGCGCCCGCCCCCCGGGCCCCGACGACGACGGCCGCGAGAGCCGGCAGGAAGGCGGGGCCCGAACACCCAGCGGCGACAAACCTCGGCCAGGGCGGCAGGGAGAGAGCCGCGAGTGGGGAGGGGGTGGAGCGCATGCCACAGAACCCAAAAGGGTTCTGCAATTGCTAATATGTCAAGTTTGTATGAATAGAAGAACCCTTTTGGTTGCTATGTAGAACCCTTTTCAAAAAGGTTCCATATAGAACCACCTACAGCACATTCTTCATCTGAAAAGGATTCTATATAGCACCCAAAAGGGTTCTTCTATTGATACAAGCTTGACGTATTAGTAATAGCAGAACCCTTTTGGGTGCTATGTAGAACCCTTTTCAAAAAGGTTCTGTATAGAACCATCTATAGCACATTCTTCATCCATTCTCCATGATGCAAAAACCCCTTTATAATGCCAAGGGTTCTTTGAGTGTTCATGGATCTATATAGAATCATTGTCTTTAATAAAGAACCATTGAAGAACTCCCTTTTTTGAGTGTACCTGTACCGTGCGCCTGCTTTTTTCACTGTAATTTTACATGTTTAAACTAATATGAATGAATTTGAAGCTGGTGTGATCATAACACATTTGAGTTTGCACAACTACATTTGAAAAAGGGTCCTGGTCATTTCTCTTTCAAAAACTAAATTACTGTGGTTGTCGTTGTTATTATAATTATTATTATTGTTATTATTATTATTATTATTATTATCATTAATCGTAAAATGCATTCCGACTCCTGGTGACCATAAAGCTAGCATTTCTCCAGAATATCCTGTCTTCTGTTTCACTTTTCAGGCTTCTGAATGGTTTGTACAGCTATAATATTTATAATTAATCAATCACTTATTACTAAATTAATTGACTAATTAAACCATGTCTTCTGTTGTTTCTCTTATTTCACCAATTACTCTACCACCATTATTTAAAGGCTACATTCCATAACCACATACTATATTTTACCATAATGCACATTAGATACAAATACAGATACAGAAACCTTGAGTATCGGTCAATACTGATCTGTTATGTACATTTTAAAATGAGCTGTTTTTAATTGAAACACTTCACTTCAAATGAACATACTAAAGAAGGCCATCATTCTCAAAGTACTCCCTCATTCTGTTAATCCCACAGGAAGAAAAACACAGCAAACATCACATCACAGTGTGAGTGAGTGCTGTTTCAGGATTGATTTGCTACAAGATTGGCTCATATTCATTCTGGTCTTCCTCCAACATCTGATGCAGCATTTTCTGCATCTGCTTATGAACATGCACTATACCAATGTACTACTAATGATGGTGAACTACTCTGACATTCTGTTTAATAGGGCAGTATGCAGTTTTTGTAAAAACAGTCCTTATAGTTAAGTTTGTCCACTTAGCAGCAAACTTAGCAATGACCTGGGCAATGAATTTTAGCCATGCTAGACTAGGCTGCTATATCTTTGATTAGGAAGAGACTTATAAACCTAAAATTTATAAAAATGCTAACGTTTTAAAAACATATTTGAAAAAATATTTAAAACTGCCACTAAAATCTCACAAAAGAGCATAAATAGTTTACCCACTTACGCCTTCACAAACAAGGCAAATGGCTCATTTTATTGATAGGTGGGCCATAATAGTGCTTGAAAATAGCAATTGAAAATGATTAAGACACAGTTTGGCCATGAAGCTGTAAAACTGCATTTTAAGTGAATTTGCTGCAGTGTTTTGGTTGCTAAATAATTTTGGTGTTTTTGCCTGAGAAGTTAAGTGTCCATCTCTATAACAGTCCCATCCTCCTTTTATAGTGTATCTGGAGGAAAAACAATTTTCTCTTTCATGATGCAATGAAACAACAGATGCCGTACTACCCCCTATGCTTCCTGCCATGTATTGAAAACTGTCAGCATGGCCATGTGTATCATGTGAGCATTATAGGTTAATGGTTCTGTGAAGTAAACAAAGCATCGACCTTTTTCACAAATCGTCAAATAATCAATTTTGTTGACTTACTGCACGTGCACTACTGCAACTAAACACATACTATGACATGTGACCTGGCAAGTCACACTCGTGCGAATGTAGCTAAACTGCTGCCTACAAGCACGACCCCTCTGCCCTCACAAAAAAGGCTAAGCCTCATACCTCCATGCTCGAGAAAGACGCGGACGCAGCGCTCCTTGCCCTTGGCGGCAGAGAAGTGGAGCAGGGTCCAGCCGTTGGCGTCTCTGATCTTGGGCGAGTAGCCCTGCTCCAGCATCTTGCGCACGGTGTAGACATCGCCGGCTGCCACCGCTGCCTGGATCTGTAGCTCCTCCTGTAGCTCCGGGTTCCTTCTGCAGTGATGGTTCAGCATCCTGTCACATCTCGCAGTGATGGATTCAGCCTCTCCTGGGTCCCTGTCCTCAGAGAGAAGACAAGAAACTCTGAATACCTATTTTTTCAACTCTTTTAAATGCAAGTTTATTATTCAGTTATTGATCTTAAGATGTGGTATTCAGTAGCTACTAAAAATGACTTGTTAACTACCATGAAACTAATATGCAAATTATTTGATTGACAGTGAGGAACATTAAGGCCTGGTCTAGGGTCAGGTCATAAAGTGTGGTGTGTATGTGTGCATTTGATGAAACATGTTTTCACACTTAAACAAACATGTATTATACTTCAACAAACTGAAGTATGGACCTCCATATAGGCCTACGGAGTTTAAGGAGATAATAAATGTCACTCATGACGACAAAAACCTGGTATTTACACATAAGCTTTCATTATTAGCCAAATCTGCACTTTAGGAAAAGCAATCCAGTAAAAAGAGAAGACCTGGGGTCGTATTACAGAAAATTTGTATCTTTTTGTCTTAAGTTAAGATCTGACAGGTCAAGATAAGATTTTTCGCAAATTCGTATTACAGAAGCAAATCTGATCTTAATTTAGGAATCTTGTCTTATCCTGCAGCATCTTATTTCAAGTAAGGAAATCTGAACTTTCCCGATCAAAGTCAACAATCAACTGTTGTGTCTGTTACCTAGCAACCAACCCTACGCGCACAGATGAAACACAAACACGTAATCCAGTTAGTTAGCCAGAGAGCTAACGTTAGCTCCCGTTACTGGTGTAAAGAAGGTCAAATAAAACCAAAGCGCGATAAACTGAGAGTGAAGAATATCGTGTCAGTGCTTTGTGCTGTTTATCAGAGCGTTGCTGCTCCCCAGTTTCAGTTTCATGCATATGATATGCATGAAAAGTCATTTAATGCATATGTTTATGTATTTATGTTGGAAAACATGTCTGGTACAAATAACATAACTATACTGAATTAATTGTGTCTGCATCATATTAGTAGACATTTTATTGGCTGTTACAACTAAGTTGTAACATTTACACTCATCACTTTCATCTGAATTATAAAGAAATGGTATGTGATTCATTACAAAGGGAGTTTGATTAGTCCTGTTTAACTGAAGTGTAGCACAGTCTGTGAAACACTGAATAAAAAATTGTATTCTCTGTATTCATAGTTTCTCATAGTATTTTTTTTAATGTGTCAACACTGTTTTTTGCAGAAACACAACTTGAAGTTTCCAGATTACTCTCTCACTGGTGGTCAGAGCCACCCAAGATGACCATATTCAGATGCATTCAGTGTAGGGTTGGGCGATTTAGCAAAATTGTGACATCACAATAATACATTTGTGTATTCATGATATACATTTTTTTACTGACATCGGATACGTTGGAACAAACAAAGTAGCACCACCTTTAAAAACTATGAATCCAATGACTTGTGTTCAATATTTTGCTTAATATGCGACACTGAATCCAGTTAATCAGGGCTAATTATGCAATCTTTTTGATCAAACATGCAGTTGCTCAGTGTTTTTAAGCACTGATGAAATCCTTAATATACCACTTATGATATATTGTGATTTAATTTATCATGATAATGATACATATTGTCATACTTCCCAGCTCTAGTTCAGTTAATCTGCAAATCCCAGATCAAGGCATAAAGGTATTACCCTTTTTTTTAATGTCTAGAAGTCCTGAAAGACCCTTTTTGTTTCGAGGCCATTCTTCAGTCCAGTCCAACCAGCATCAAATCCAGATAGAGGAACCTATGAAGAAGCACCACCACCATAAGAACAATAACAAACATGAATTCAAGAAACACAAAAATAACAAAGCTCTTCACTGCATCCAAAATTGATGGTGACGGAAATAATGAGAGTTTATTTAGGAACACTGGTGCTTTGAGCTAAAGGGGAATACCACAGATTTTTCTAAATTTTGCATAATTTGGTTGTTACAATGTAAACAATGTCAGAGTGCTTTGGTGTAAAAATGGCTTATTGTAGAAAAACTTAGACTTACAGATTTCTTTACAGTTGTGGTGATAGGAACCAGGGGTCGCCATGACCACAACACAAATATAGCCTCACAATTCCCTATATAGGGATCTCCACTGTGAATCGATTTAAATAAATTGATTAACAAGACAATTAGAACAAAACTTTATCAACAAACTATCATAAAACAATGTCTCAGGGATCAGGCAGTGTATTCATAACCATTTGATGTAATAACTTTCTGTGAGGGAGCTTTTAGAGGTGGACGTCTGGTTCCTATCACCACCACTGTGAACAATTCTGCCTCAGCAAGATTCTCTAGAACAGAGCATTTCACACCAAACCACTCTGAATAATTTCGTTTACATTTTAGCCATTTAATTATGTAGAAAATCTGAATAAATAGTGGAGTTCTCCTTTAATGCCTGCTGCTGTCAGAAAATAAAACAGTCCAGTCAGATGTGTGTTATTGTTGTCATTCGACTAGCCTGCTATAGTTAGGTTAGCTAGGTTATGTTAGTTAGCTTTTACAGTCAGTACTGTGAACTGGCCGTCGCTGGATGATATTAAAGCAAAGTAACTCACCTATTTAGGTTCTACAATTGTCATAATGACTCTCTATGTTACATTTAATATCACAAATAGTGTGATATTCGCTGACCGTCTGAACTCGACGAGACTCGCACTGGCAGAACAAACAATGAACTGTTAGCTGCTGTTAGCGAAGCTGAGTCTGAAAAGCTGCCAAATTCTGCAAACTGTAGCTTCGTTTTTAACTTTCTCCGTTCTGACTAATTTAGTTTTGAATAAAATATCTGAGACAGGGTCTCGTTTAATAAGAACCTCGGTTCGCTGGGAGTATAAAGGAAGAAAGGCTAACGCTAACTTACCCCAGTGCTAATGGTTTTAGCCTTTAGCAGCAGTTCTATATTAGCAGCCCTACGAGGCTAGCAGGTTAGCTAGCTTTTAGCCCCAAGCTGAGAACTGTTCCCACAGCAGCCGCAGAAACTCTTCAAACTCCAGACTGCGCGTTGACTAAACTGTGTTTGGTAGGCTGTGGAAGCAACAGCTAATATAAAACACTCAAACACTCGCAATTAGACCCTAAAAAGCTAGCTAAGTAACATAGCCATCCACTTCGAGACTTCGGCTGTGGCGCCCGTAACCAATCACAGAGCAGGAGAGAAAAATTTGAGCTGTCAAATCAGCGGCTGCGCACTAATAAGCGCACTTGTGCCCTAACTAGAGCGCTTGGCTTAAAGGGGAATTCCACCGACTGTTCAAAGTTTTTGCATAATTCAGTTCTTGATATGTAAACAAAGCAAATCAGGATGGTTTGTTCTGAATTACACAGTTATAGAAAAGCTAACCGAGTCAGAAGTGTTCACAGTGGTGGTGATAGGAACCAGACATTCACCTCTAAAAGTTCCCTCACATAAAGTTATAACATGAAATGGTTATGAATGCGCTACCAGATCCCCTGGAAAACCAGCACAGAGACCCTCCCTGATACTGTGTGTCACTCAAAAATAAGTCACAGTACAGAAGAAAGCTTACTGATTTCCAATTCACGTTACTGTAACATTTACACAGAAACCTTACTTGTAGAGAAACTCACAGTCTCAGATTTCCTTACAGTGTTGGTGATAGGAACCGAGGTTGCCATGACTACAACACAAATATAGTCATTTTATTTACAATCCAAAACCACCAGTGAGCCTACACGTGTCACGAGTTTTATATGCATTGCTGATGAAGGAAAGACAGTGGAAAATAATAATAATAATAAAAAGGGTCCTACTTGGCCTGAATGCACCCCTCCACATTAATGGATTAAAAAAATACATTTTAGCCCAAACTCTTCTCAAACCTGTTGTAAAATAATCTGGCAGTATATTCATAACCATTTCATGGTTAAAACCGATAAAACCGAGACCACTTGAGTCCTGGTAGACTGGCTGATTTAAACTTGAAGCGTTCTCACTAGTACGCACTAGATAGTGTACGTGTGTGTAGGGCACATTTGCACCAATTGGAACACACCCACCGTCCTGCTGCCGCAAACAAATGGTTGCTTTGCGACTGTTTTCGCCACCCAAAGACTCATCGTGCGTTTCAAAGAAGAGCTGAGATGTGGAGCTAAAACATTAAGTTCGGTTAGAAATGGATTAAAATGTACCGAATACCGGACAGTAGATTACTAAAGTGAGTTCTGTCCACTAACTTTGTAAAGTTTATGCGGCTGAAGTTGGCTTTTCATTCGCCGGATTCTAGTTGGAACTTTCCGTTCCACCTTAAATCGTGCAGCAGTTTACATTCTGTCTCAGGCGCCAGGCGCACCATTTAAGGTGGAACGGACAGTTCCAATAGAAAGCCGATATGGTCGCCGTGATGTCAGTTTTGTGTGTAATTGTTAAACCACATTTAATCACTAAGGCTGAGCTTTTAAAACGTTTTCTTCACCCAATTTGCAAGATTTGTTATGGATAATTCTGGTAATTCCTAAGTAAAGTTGTATTTGCATGAATTGTTCTTCAGGGGTTCTATTTAGAACCATGAGTTTAACATAGGACCATTTCATGCTTGCATGGTTCTTCAGATTGAGGGAGGATGTGTTATACATGGTTCCATATAGAACTTTTTTGAAAATGGTATTATATAGCACCAAAAAGGTTCCTCTGTTGTAACAAGCCTAACATTGTAACAATAGTAGAACCCTTTTTGATGCTATATAAAACCATTTTCAAAAAAGTTCTGCATGGAACCATGTACAACACATTCTCCCTCAATCGGAAGAACCATTCCACCATGCAAAGAAACATTTATACATGAAATGGTTCAATATTCTAAACAGAACCATAGTCTTTAGTAAAGAACCCTTGAAGAACCTATTTTTAGAAGTGTACCTTAAATTTCGAGCAGGAGATTTAATGTTTAATACATTTAAGAAGTTTCATTTAAAAAGTCTTGTTGATAGATTACAGGAGAATAATAATAGGTCAGCTGCCTTTTTGTCGTTTGTTGGTGACCAGCTTCAACGTGGCCTGCAGATGAGGAGCTGGACATGGATGGCCTTAATTCAGATTTGCAGGCCTTGTTCACAGTTTTCCAGGCTGGAGGCGTTCCTGGAGTAACTAGTGAGGAACTAGCAAGTAAAATTTCATCAGCCATAAGCCGTTTAACACAACCTCCACACAGCACTGGCAGTAAAGACGTGGACTCAACCTGCCTGTGTCTCACTCTCATTGGAAAAATAATTGCTGGACTGTTTTCAAAAAGTTTGCCACAGGATGCCAGGATGTTCTACGAAGATGTAATGAAGAGACTCTTCGGACCTGCTGATCTGATGTCGGAACTTGTGAGTAGTTGATGTCCCAGAGCTTTTGGTTTCCTCTTATGACTTCAAAAGTCAACCTGAAATCAAAGTTGACCTTGTGGACCTTGTTAATGATGTGCCTGGTCATATTAAAGGGCCCGTATCCTATATTTATCTTGTTTTTTTATTATTATTATTATTATTTTTACATTTGCATGGGTTTATGTACTAAAATCAGTCATAATTCATTTTCACCTGTCCGTTTTTTAACCTTTCGTTATCTCTTTTGTTAGAATTAACCCCTTAAATGGCTAAGACCCCCAAAATTTTATTACACACTTTTTTAACCTAAGAGTAGCTCAACCAGTTTGCATTGAAGTCCCTGTAATTACTGAATAATAAGCCTTAGTATGTAATAAGTCTTTTTAAGGGGTTAAACAGGCTGTTTTAGTGACTGTGTCTTTAAGACTGATATATGCAAACAATCTCTGGTTTGATTGGCTGCCCTGTATTGTGCCTCATTTGAAAGGCAGTCCAGGCTGATACACTTCCTATAATTTCAATGTAAATTGGTGGAGCTAAACTGCCATACACTGAATATGTATTCAGAAGTATTCAAATCACAAAAAACAGCGACTTGAAAATATGCTCGAGCTGATTTTCCAAATTTGGTCTGTATGGATTGGAGGATGAATGGTTTAATGTTGTTTAATGTTTACATACGACATTTTTTATTTCAAAAAAGTGGAAAGTTCAGTTTTCTTTGACATGGGCCCTCGAAATGTAATAACTTTTGCTGCCTCTAAAATGTCTTCTGGTTCTTTGATAATATTAAGCAATAACCTCTTGTTTTACCTCCCACCCCCACCTGACCCTGATATACTGTGCTTCACTCACAAATATGTCACAGTAAAGAAGGAAAATGTGTAATGTTGTTGGAATCGTTTGAACAGTTAACATTTGTTGTGAGGAAATCTGATTTTAAACCAGCTGCTTTGTGTCATTACAGTATCATGATTCTCTGATGTCTTTTATTCTATCATGCAGGTTCTTCTGTTAAACTCCCAGGACAGGCTATTGTCCCATTTGACTGCAAAGTGTGTGTCGTCCTTTGTCATTTATGACCTCTGTACGCAGGTAAGTATTAATTAGTAATATTTAAGTAGTAATTATTAATGTGAAAATAACGAACAACTGATGAAGGTGTATCACTCTCTGAAGCACCACCTTTGCTGGATAGTTTTGATAGCACGGTGAACAAGCATTAACAAAGGGACACTCAAGCCAAAATGAAAAATGTAACCATCACTACATACACAATGTGGACAAAAATATTGGGACACATCTCTTATTCATTGGATTCAGGTGTTTCGTTTAGTCCCATTGCCACATGTGTATAAAACACCTAGCCATGCACTCTGCCAGATAGAGAAGCCTGATTCAAGTCTGGATTGGTGAATGCCAGGAGAACTTCACCTGCCTGACTGCATTGTGCCAGCTGTAAAGTTTGGTGGAGGAGGGATAATGACATGGGGTTTTTTTTTTCAGGGGTTGGCCTAGGACCCTTAGTTCCAGTAAAGGGAAACCTTAATGCTTCAGCAGACCAAGATATTTTGGACAATTGTATGCTTCTAACTTTGTGGGAACAGTTTGGGGAAGTTTCTGTTCCAGCATGACTGGTGACTGAGCCCCAGTGCACAAAGCAGGGTCCATAAAGGACTCCAACTCCATATTAATGCCTATGGGTTTAGAATGGGATGTCATAAAAGCTTCTGTAGGTGTCCCAATACTTTTGTCCATGTAGTGTGTGCTGTAAACAAGCTTGCTATTGTCCTACTGTGTCCTACTGTTCTCTCTACAGGGATACTTTCTGATTTAAAAATTAGGAAAACACTCTTCTGATGATGGATCTTTTTAAAAGTTCTTGTTTCTTTAGCTGGTGAATGCAAAATGAAGCCAGCTAGCCAACATTACTGTTAAACAACTGAATGTCTTATTGCAGCTGTATAATTACAGTTTTAAATCATCATTACAATGGAGAGAATGGACAGAAATGACTCGTCAGATGAGGAAGACAACAAACTAGTAAGCTGCCTGGATATCTAGACACCTTGTCTCAGTGTGGCTTTGTGCTAAAAGGGCAAAAAACCTGTCTTGGGTGTCAGTTTTGTGCTGAATATTGAAGTGTGTTATCTGCAGAGGATGCATTAACTAATATTCAGTTGAAAAATTTATGATTTGGGTCAACAATGTCACTGAATGCTGCAAATGACCACAATAAATCAATATGTTCACTGTAAGCTAATGTAAAGACTGAATAGATATCGTTATTGATAAATACACATCTGTATGCTAAAAATGTGTTTTTCTTTATTGCAGGGTGATATGAACCATGTTTGGACGTCCACCTGTGCTGAAACTTTTCAGAGATCTGTTCCTGATTGTATGCTGGACACATGCCTGTGGTCACTAACAGAAGTGATTAAAGGAGTGCTGAGAGGAGAGTGTGCCAGCAAACAAGGTTTTTAAAATTCTCTTATGAAATACGTACATGGTTTAGTCGTTTTAGGCTGCTTGTTTCCTGGGACTTTTAATGGACACTTTTACATTAACCCTTAGAAGTCAACAGTAATTGTTGTTTGTACATTTGATTTACACCACGTTGTTATATATATGTAACTAAATATTTACAAAATGACTCACATAGTTACAAAATAATTGCATTTACATCGTATTTACATTTTGTATAACAGGTTTAGAATCTGCACTTTTCCCGCAACACACTGCTTATTTTAATGAGCTATGAGAAATAATTCATATTAAATAACAGGCTTCTAAGGGATTTTGTGTGTGTGTATC